TACAAACATTCAATAGCAATATTGACAAAGCCAGAGCGTAATTTTTATAACATTATAATAATATTTGTACAATTAATAAATAAAACAAACTTTTTTAATTTGGTTTTTTTTCATTGCAATAATTTAATTCATATGTTTATTTAGTTGTCAGCAATTCTAATAATGATCTGAATGGTTTTTCAAACATCAAATACAAAATAAAGGCACCGAAGAATGTCAATATTACAACTCCTAAAAATGTTGGCAACTGTAATATAAATAATAAAAATATTGAAATTATAACAAAACAATTTTACTGAAATACGAATAATACTGATAAAAACTTTTAATTATAAACTTACTTGGAATATCATATCATTATGGATGGCTTTATCTGCATCAAAGTATGATAGAAATATAATGATTGGATTGATTAGATAGGCACAGTAAGTAAGTCTATCCACTACTACAAATATTTCATGTGATAAAAAGGTATTTATAAAACCTAGTTAACAAAACGTATTCAATTATATTACACATACATATTTCTATATCATGATGAAGTTATAAAAATTATTTACCTCCATAACCAGTAACTGAAGCCCACACAATCCAACCAATTGAAAATGCAATTGTTATTACTCTAATCAGGGACCACAAACATGCTGTTTCCAATACAGAGGATTCTACTAAAGAATACCAAATAATTAAAATTATAGGAAATGTTGTCAAAATCCAAAAAATCCAAAGTATTATCTACCAAACCAAAATTGTATAGAGGTTTTTTATAAAATTGTAAATCAGGTAATGTCTTATATTAATAAAGAAAAGCGGAAAACAACATCGAGAAAACGGAAAGAATTAGTATTAAAAAAAAATTCAAATTCAAATGTTGACAAAAATAAGAAAAATCTTCAATTTAAATTATGTGAGATATTATTTAAACTTCACTTTCAAACAGTGGGAACACAAATATCGACCACACAAGTTAATATTAACCTTATTTAAATGTATTTTTCTTTTCGTTTGGAGTAAAAAATATGCAACAGCCATTCCAACTAAATAAGGACCAATTCTTGTCCACGGTAATTTATAGAGAACATCCTTGATTGATAATGGTATGAGAAATGAATTTCTGTAATAAAAATAAAATATATTATTCTTAATTATATTTATTTTTTAAACTATAAAAATACTTACATTATCGAAAAATTCAATGCATATACAAGGTAGAAATTGATAATTATTGAGGAAATTACCAGAAACGACCATATTGCAGCAGCCAAGTAAAAGTAACTAAATAAAAACCGTATTAATACGATTTTATATTATTTTCATTTTAAAATACAATATTATGATTCTAACTTACCTTACAGAACAAACTGTGATGATATATCCAATTATAAAATATTGCATATCATNACCAGAAACGACCATATTGCAGCAGACAAGTAAAAGCAACTAAGTAAAAACAGTATTAATACGATTTTATATGATTTTTAGTTTAAAATACAATATTATGATTCTAACTTACCTTACAGAACAAGCTGTGATGATATATCCAATTATAAAATATTGCATATCATTTGCTAAATACCAACTCCATGTGGTACACTATACATTAAATAACAATTATGAAATAATTATAAAATATAAATATAAAAAGAACCGACATTTTTTACATCATGAAATCACGATAATGTAATTTTTACTTCTAAAAGACCTGGACCGTTCTTAGTTAATTTAATATAAGTATATCTGTTAGCAACAATAACGTTTTGCAAACGAAACAACGATTTTGAGTGGAGTTCGAATGAAAGTGTTGTTTTGTCAACAATACATATGGTATAATATGGTAAAATAATTACATATGCATTACATATTTTCTTTAAAATTATTTGTTTAATATTGTTTTAGAAATAGTGCTATCACTGTAAAGCAGAGCATAATTGCCTGTAGAATAGTTGTCAAAAAAAAAAATAATAATAATAATAATATTTTACTAATATATTTCATATAATTTCCATTTTCCCTCTATTTTTCCTTACTTTTCCCTTTTGTTGAGAGAACGTCAGGGGAGATCATAAAATGACTTCCTTATAAGTACCACCCTAAAAGAATTTCCTTCAGAAAAAGGACTACATCGGTTACATCGGAGTAAGCTTTGAGGTAGAAAAAGTGATCACATAAAAAAATAAATAAAAATAAACATTTTTGTAAAACCATAAGCTTCTTCGTTCTATTATTGCTCTAGAATCTAAAACAAATTTAAAATAATAAATTACTACAAAAACTACCAAATAAAATCAAAAAACGAAAAAAAAAGTATCTTGTCTTTTACCTATTGGTAGAATATTTATGGTAGAAAACATAATATAGGTAATAAAATTTACTGTGCCGTAATTTGAAAAAAAAAATCATTTATTTTGTCTTTTTTGGTTTTTCCCAATTATAATGAAAAATACTTTAGATAACAAAAACGACTATGAAGGTGGCGGAATATTAAAAGGATCAAAATCGATATCTTATTATTTTTGGATTGGAACAATATTTCTAGTAGAAAACATTGTGTAAACATAATAAAAACGATAAAAACGTTAACATTGCGACATGCCGTAAATATTTGCCGATTACCTGTAATTTTGTTTTAGGTTTTTCTAATATTTCGAAAACCCGTTGGAAAATCAAAAAAATACACCTTAACTCAATAGCTAGACAAAATTATTTTTGAAAAAAAATGTTCAAGTCTATAGTTTAATACTTCGGAGCAAGTTTTCTAATAGAAAAGATGTTCAGAAAATGAAAATAATAAATAATAAACTCAATTTTATTTAAATTTACGATTTATAGTATTCATACCATTTTATTATAGCTGATTAAATTGTTAATATACAACAAATTAGTCCACCA